TGTGTGCGTGTGTGTGTGTGTGTGTGTGTGTGTGTGTGTGTGTGTGTGTGTGTGTGTGTGTGTGTGTGTGAGTGAGTGATACTTGCAATACCTGCATATTCTAAATTTCAAGATGAGGGCTAGAGCATGGAGGGAGGGAGAGAGAGAGAGAGAGAGAGAGAGAGAGAGAGAGAGAGAGAGAGAGAAGGAGAGGAGAGAGAGATTATTGCTTAATGAATGCCCCTGGGTTAGCTGGTTGGCTTGATGCCATGTGAGATTCTCAGATTTACTGCTTCTGTGACCTCCTATTGTCCCAGCTCTGATTTATGGAATTTGGTATTTCTTGAAAGGCAAGATGTCTGGAGTTTAGGGTCTTTCCTTGACAGCCCTTCCTCTCCCCCGTACAGTCATTCTGATTTTATTCACCTTGTGGTGACCTTGCAGAACTCAGCATTTTTACCTGAGCTCAGTAGCTGGGGAGCCCACTAGCGCTGGCTGGGAGAGAGCCGGTGGTTTCCATTCCTGGGTGATGGAGTCATGGGAGAAACTGCAGTGAGCAAACACAGAGTAGGACCTGAGCCGGGCTTGAATGTGCTTTAAGCAGCTCAGGACAGAGCAGCTGCTCTGTCTCCCAGCCTGCATTTGTCACTGACCACTGAAGTGTGTGTTTGTGCAAGGTGAGAGTCGGGGCTTTTTCCTTAATTTGGAAACAAATTGCCAGGTATTGCTGTTAATTGTGTTTGATAATTTGGGGATATGTATATTACCACAAATTCAGGACCTGAACTATGCTTGGTTTTATTTTTGCCCTTGTATTCTGTCACGATCCATTCAGCTCTCCCGGTGTCCAAATTGTGGCAACAGATTGGGCATGGAGCTATTCTTCTGCGCCGAAATGTGATCATTATAAGTGCCATTTTTCTTGGATTCTTTCATTAATTGCTGCTGCCAAATCACATAACTGTTCATATGCAGAATTCCAGTGCTTACTGGAAGGCATATGAAAACTGCTTCAGATGTTAACCTGATTGATATTTTTTTGAGTACTTGCTGTGGTATATTCTTTGCTGCATCCACATGGCAGTGGTCGAAACTTTCCAGAGTAGAGTGCCATGGGGTCTGATCTGATGATAAAAATAACGTGGGGTTTTCTGTGTGTTTTCTTGTGAAAATGAAAACTTCTACTTGGCCTTTGGTATGCCTGTGTGTGTGTGTGTGTGTGTGTGTGTGTGTGTGTGTGTAGGAGGGGAGTGATTTTGAAACAACCAAGACCAAAAACAAAAACAAAACAAAACCTAGATAATAATTGCTATCATTTTGAGGTGCTTATAATTATCATAATTAACCTAATGGAGCTTTTGTTCTCAGCATATTTGAACTGTGTGACTTCACATTCTGTGTGTACAGGACAATACAACTATTGAATAAGCTTGTGAAAGTATGTAGGAGCATAGATTATGTCCTCACTAGGAGTACACACAATAGGAATCAAAACTACTCTCTTGGGTAAACAGATGGGCCTTAATCCTGAGCCAGTTTTGTATGTTAGCTACTCAAGTAAATCTATAAAATCAGTATAAGGGGCACACTGTTTTCTGGTAACTAAGTAAATATACAGAAGATTCGTATACATGAAATACATATTCTAGAAAAGTGAAAAGTACAGGAATTTAGTATTGTATAGGTAGAAAACGGAAAAGTTAGAAAAGCTGTTAAATTTAGAAAGGAGAAAAAAGTACAATACAATAAAAAAAGTAATAATGAGGGAGTACTGAAAAGTACTCCAGCTTCTCAAATTTTTATGCCTAATGAAAGAATAATAACATGTTTAAGGAAGTTCAGCGTCAGCAGAAACAAAGCCAAGAGCAAAAATTCTTAATAAAACACATTGTCAACTGTGGCATGTACTTGTCTGTCTTAATTAAGTTGAATTCTTTTGCTGAGAAACATAAAATTAATTGAAAAACGTTACATATTTAAATTGCATTTCAAACTGGTCTCCAGTAAGTTTTAAATACTAATAAATAAATTTATTTAACTACAATGAGCAATTATTTTAAACAATTAACAAATAACATACAATAACAAAATCATCCTAGTTTTGAATTAAGTTTAGTTTAGAAAAAAACTCTAATATTCTAAATTAGTATGTTACCTGTTTCTACCTACATACAGACTGGTAAGTTCCTTGGGCAGTGTCTTCATGGTCTCTTTGCTTTCACTCTCTTGTAAGAACACTATGGACTGATCAGCAGAAAATGCCTGTCTGACTCCAACATTGTCATGCTTCTTTTGCAAGCTTAGAACAAGGATGGTTTCATTTCACAGATGTGGAACTGGAGGTATACAAAGGAATGATGATTGACATTTCCATATTGGAGCCTGTACCACATTGACTTTTCTGCTGCCATGATC